ACCAACCTATTATATGTAAGTCTTCAGACCCAGGCACTTCCATCAGAGCTGAATTTAAGTCATTTGAGGCCTGCTACAAATGCAAAGGGCTAAATGATCCAGCCCTTATAGTTTTTGCCTGTTATGGTGCATAGACAAGCTTGAGACTGGGCAGTTTCTCCTGGGTCCATCCCTCTAACAGACTGGCAACTTGATAGTTCCCTTTTCTGCTTCTCACCACCTCCCAGGATGGTGGGTCAGTGAATGACAGCTAAGAACTGCAGCTAAGTTCTCCCCCAAATAAAGGATGCCCACGTGCAGCAGTTTGGCACAGTCAAATGCCTGTGGGCCCAGATACAGCTCCTTTGCCTCTCTTACAGGCTAAGCCATTCTGGAAATCTGCTGATGACTTGGGCTAACCCTTCCAATATCATCATTGATTTCCTTGACTTTTAAGAGTCACATGTATAGTCACACGCTTTAGGTCCTGAAAACTGGTTAAACAGGAACTCCTACTGCACAATTACCATTCAACAGCACTATGGCACTCAACCTCTACCTTGTGACAGGATGTTTGGCTAGGACAGGACTCTGACGTGACAGTTCTCAGTGACAGACCCAGAAGAAGCAACACCTGTCCTAATCCTAGAGTGCTGTTATGATGGAGGCTGAGTATAAACTTGTTGAGGCTGATGCTTGGGACAGCTGCCTGTCATTCAGATAAGTGCAGGATAAGAGCCAGCTTCCAAAGCCACAAGCAAGATGGGTCAGAAACCAAAATGTATGGACAGGGAGGTTTCGCTGGGGTATCATTTGATGGATGTGTGTGCCTGTGGGAAGCAGCACCCAGAGGCAGGCAAAGAAAGTAGAAGGAAAGACAAGCAGAGGAAAAATGCTGGCAGCATGGCTTTCTGGAAAAAGCCATGAGAGAGAGCCTTTTGGGCAGTGAAGGATGGAAAGAGCTGTGGGACTGTGATCCTCCTTGCCTCCTGGCATTTGTTCCTACTTGGCTTGGGGAAACAGGTAAATGTGGGTCTATACTGCCTCTGTGGTGCTCTCAAGATTGCTGCTGAAAAGTAAGTCCCACCTACTTGCTCTGTACTCTCCAAACTGGATGCACCAGGGACATCCCCAGCCCCTACTCACGAGATCTCTGTCTCTGCTATGCTTGAGAGATGCAGTGGGGGGATCTCTGCAGTGTCCTCACTGCCTCAGTTCTGGGTTTGGAGACTATGGCATGAATAAGTGGGGCAGCCTTGACAGCACTGAGGCGGCACCATAGTCATACCCTTTGGGTACATGCTTTGTAAATAAACAGGTATTTCTTTGGTGCAATCCTGACTCAATTATCAGATCCTCCTCCTGACAGAACCAACCCTACATGGCCCCAAATGCTGACTAGCCACTTGGTCAGTAGGAGCAATGCCGGGGCCCAGACTGAGACTAAGTTTCTTACAGGAAAAACTAAGAGTTAGTATTTTTGTTGAATCAAGATGCAGCAAAGAATGGAGGTACCAAAAAGGGTTCAAACAAGAACTGGAGACTTCACAAAAGAAACTAAAATGTCATGTGAAAGCTTTTGAGAAGGGACTGAGAGATGACCTAAGGTCAGAAAAGAAAAATCTCTGAGGCAGTTGCTAGAAAGCGAAGCACATTGAGAAGTCCAGCTCCAGGACTCCAAATCTGAAATGGCCACACAGGTTGTAAAGAGGACCAGCATCCTGAAAGTCATGACTTGGAACGCTTCCCAAAGAGGGAGACCAAGAAATCTCTGGCTATCTTGGAGTTTGCTCACAGAGAAAAATTGCATGAGGGACTTAACGAGCTTGAAAAATCACTTTAAGAAGGAAACTAGACCAGTGCGAAAGTCATCTGCCTGGGCTTGGAATTGGGCCAACCAGAAAAACTTGAGTGAGGCTGGGTATTTGCAATGCTTTTCTACCCTGATCATAATCCCTGGAGAGAACACTTTGGATTGTCCCAACTTAAAATGGTATAGAAGTCTATCATCAAAACTCCCTGGGTGGTTTATTTGATTCAGCCAAATGAATGGCTGGGAATCGGAACAGAGATGGTATTTCTAACAGCCAGTCTGAATGGCCCAGTTCTGATCATGCTCCAGAACTTACCTCCAGAAAAGAGATGGAGTTATACAGTTATCTGGTACAAAACTTTGGCATTTGCTTTGGAATCAATCATAAATCTGAGCTGGCCAGTACTGCATATATCAAAGAATGAGGAGCGAAAAAGAAGAGATCCTGATATCAACTGGCAGAGGAGACGTGTGTTCCTGATGCATCCAGATACCAAAGACACCTTCCACAATAAATTAGTAAAGAACCAACATACTGGTGCCCAGCTAGACTTGAACATGTAGGCCCATATCAATAAAAGAAGGCTAATGACACTCCAAGAATCTGTGGGATCTGCTGCAGAACTTGAATCTTTCTTTGCAGTAGTTCACCAGAACAGGAAGCAGCTACTGGGGTGAGAGAGAAGTTGACCATCTTGAGCCTGTAAGTGCAACTCTATCTAGGGCATATGACAGGAAGGGGATTCCAATCTGGTTGCAAACCATTTTGATCAATTAGAGAAAGAGATACATTTGTGGCTTGTAAATGAGCAACAGTGCAAAAATTAAAGGGAACGGGTTAGTTAAATGCTGGCACTGTAGAAAAAGCTGGCCACAAAAAAGGAGGTTTATTTATAAATGGGCAGGACAGAGCATTACAGATGTTGAGTGAGAGCCCCTCAGCCTTTCAGGAAATGGGGACACCAAACTAACAAGGCAAAGCTGGGGAGTAAACAACAGCTGGGCATTTAAAAAGCAATAATAAGAGTTTGGCTACTGAATGTATAATAGGAACTGTGAGAAGCACTGGAACAGTGGACACCTGCTCAAACACAATCATTATTAAACCAGATGCACTGAAAGGGCAAGGGGATGGGAGGTCCAAGACAGAACAATCAAACTGGTTTCAAATGGAAACAATGGCCATGGCACCCATCCAACACTGAGAAGGTTGGGTTTGAAACCCACGCCTCTGGATTGGAGTAAGGAGTCTGGATGGCTAAGGTGGTAGGTGAGCTATTAATCAGTCTGAATTTCAGTAACTGTGTAAATAAATGTGACAAACAGCGTCTTCACATTCAGTCTCTCAAAATTCCCTTTAAAAATGTGTCTCCAGTAAAGCAACTGGCCTGTAGACAAATGGTTTGCAGTGAGCCTGTTGTCCTACCAGCAGGGGTGGAAATAACAAGAGCAGATTATTTGCTAGGGTAGCTTTCCAACAGAGGAAAAATGGGAAATAGCTGAGGCTAATTCAAGACACAGGGTCTTGAGAGAATCTTGCTTGCTAAAGTTCTGGTGGATCTGAAGCAGGAGTAGATCCCTACTTACCTGCTAATGGTTTCTGATGAGCAGCAAATAGTGGAAAAGACTGCAAAATGTAAACTGCTGAATCTAGTCAAGGTTTGCAAAGATGAGAACTGCAAGGAAGAAAGGGGTGGAAGTGAGGTCCATGAGTTTCTAGTGCACTTATTCCAGCTCAGGGCTATATACTTAAATAGAATCCAGAGGTATTCTCACAATGCAATAAATGTAGTACCAGATTGGTCCAGCATAAGACTGATACTGTGGAAAAGCAGCCCATGGAACAGTCACCTCACCTTCGCTAATAGAAAAGAGAAAAGAAGCCTGATAACCCTTTGAAGAAATACTGGTATAAGCTGAAATCCATAACTGAGCTTTCAGTCAGCCCTGGGCCTCTCCCATCGTTCTGGTTAAGAAAGAAGTTGGCAGCACCAGATACAGTGTGCTATACACTTTGCAGGATTCTTACCCAGTGGCTGATACCCTGAGGCTATGTCAGGTTCAGACTGGTTTTTCACACTGGAATTTAAGACTGGATATTAACAAGTAGAAGTGGGTCCAGAGGACAAGGAAAGCCCACTTTCACCATGACACAAGGCTTGTGCAATACATATAATGATGGCTTTTGGCTTCTGCAATGTGCCAAATAAGGCAGGGAAAAAAAGGGAAGTGTGTTGCTTGACATGACACTTTCTAAACCCCGTACCACACTGAGATGATATGCTACAAACTAGAACTTCTGAACAGGAACTGATGTACTTACAAAACCTTGGGGCTGCAGACCTGAAACTGTGGGCAAAGAAAAGCATGCTATCCCAAAAAGAGACAACTGACTTTGCCTCCACAGTGGGCAGACAGAATTTCTGCTGATGAATAGCAAATGGAGGATGTGCAGAACTGGCCAACCTCCATGTGCTCACAGATGCACAGAGCTTTGTCTGGCAATACTGCAAACTCTTACATAGGTGGGGTTAGGAAGGGAACAATTCCAGCTGGCATTAGCATGTGATTTTAGCATTTTCTGAGTTGACCAAAGGCTTGTGTGACTGTTCCCCTCTTCGCCTACTGGGGCTTCAACACCGGTTTTGTATCGGACATAAAAGATAATGTTACCTGTGTATAAGCAGTGCTGACAGAAACACAGAAGGACTTGAGAGCATGTTGGCTTCTTACAGCAAAAGCCTCTTGCAAATCTTGTATCACCAAGAGGGAACATCTAGCCACAGTTACACCTATACACTGTTTTCACCACTATTTGTATGGAAGGAAGTTTAGTCAGGATAGACCAGGCATCCCTGCCATTCAGATTTAAGAATCCTGAGGGGATATTTACTACGGCATTCAAAAAAGTGCCGTGATTTCATGCTTATACACAGACCTAGGCTCAAGCTTCCATAGAGATTCCTATGAAAATTGTCCAATTGTTGTTGGCTCTGCACCTGGCCTGTTGCCTTGGTTATTCTTTTAGTCTAAATTAGACTGTAATCTTGTTTTGGCAGGAAACTGTCATGTGCATTTATATGCTACATCAATGCCACTGATGAGCTTCCATGCCAGGTGTCAGTGGATGAAGCAGCAGCGCTGAATTCAAGGGCTCGCCTCCCTCCACCTTCCACTTTCCTCTCCCTTGATAATCTTGCCTCCTTACCTCTTGCCTTTCTGATTCTTTTGCTCCTTTCCTGATCCGGCACTGCAGCAATGACACAGGCCTCCCGCTCGAGAGGAAGATTTGTTCAGGTCCTTGTGGCATTTCAGGCATATTTTGGCAGCGCTCCCTTTTTTAGGCCCAAGATTAGACATTCTTAATGGCTAAAGGGGCCAATGCAGCGTGCCTGGGCTGACTGAAAGGAGGCAGGGGCAAAAGTTAAACACAACAAGAGATTTCTCGAATTAGGCACATGACAGCCACCCCCTTGACAAACAGAAAGACTTGGGGCTTGAATTTTGAGTGCTTTGTTCCTGCACTTGGAGGTAAAGGTACTGAGTTAGGGTGGCTTTAGGCCACCTAAAGATTACTCTGGTTTTAAAACCTGTTTCTCATAATGCTCTGGGCTTCGGGTAGTGCAGAAGAGCCCTCGGGCAGTGACACCACCTTGGACACGGGCACACACACTCATACAATACACAAGAAGCTGAAAGCAGGGCTGAGCATAGGCCCCTGCACTTTGGGTAATCTCTTGGGGGATGCTTCCACCTGCTTTATGGCCCTTGACATAGCCCAGCGTTGTGGGTCACCAGCAGGAGGACCCCCTGGGGATAGGGCAGGAATGGAGCTAAAATAGGGATGCACCCTAATTTCAACAGCAATTGAACAGGGGCTGGAGCTCAGCCCTACCTGCTGCTCCTCCTGCGCCGGACACCTGGCAGTTGGGAGCGTTGCTAACTCCAACTGATCCTGGCGGGACCAAGCCACGCGCGCTTGCGCCAGCCCCGGAGTTCTGTGTGGCACCGCGGGCGGCGTGGTACAGGCCACCCAAGGGTCCGTGCTGGAGACGGGGCACGGGAACAGGAAAGCTTTACCTCCTTCCCGCACCCCGGTCACCCACTTCTGGAAACCTGGTAGTTTCTGAGAAATGTCACCAAGAGAAATTTGAACTGCAAAGCCATTCTGACTTCAGGTGCATGCGGTCCTTTGCTGGGAGGGAAGAGCTCTTTGGGCTCTGGAGAGAAAAGTGGCGATTCCTGCGATGGGTGATGTGTTGAGTGGACAGGAGTGACCGTAATAGCCGGGACTGAATGGACATGAGGCTTTGCTTTGTGCTGTCATCAAGGCTGATGTTTATATCCTACTACTGGGAAAAATGCGTAAGCTCTTTTCTGAGGTGAGGTTTCCATCTTCGTTTGTAGGAATGGCATCCCACCATCATGGCAGCTGAATGTCCTCGAGCAGCCAGGCTTCACAGAGCATATGCCAGCCCCTGCCAAGTAGCCGACCGTGGCTTGGGTAGTAAACTTAGTCCATGTCTCTCTGTTGCCTCCACACAGGGATCCCAGAGCATTTCTCCTACACCAAGTCAAGTCAATGGGAAGGCCCATCTATGCTCCAGCGTGAGCAGGGGGCAGGTCTTGTGAGTGGGGACTATTTCTACCAGTTCTCCTCCAGAGAGCACGTGATTCCTTTTTCCAGGGTTGATGAGATACTGATCTTGGTGGCAGCCTCTTCCTTTCTCAGTCAGAAAGGTGGAAAGAGGAAGTTGAAGACCCAAGAGGAAACATGGTGTTTCCCAGGCTGGAAAGGCAGGACAGAAGGTCTGTCTGAACCAATGTTTTGTCAGGGACAAACATGCTCAGGATCAATGAAACATGCATGCCAAGGTAGAAAGGACAAGGAGCACCCAAGGTATGGCTCCCTACAAGAGTCAACTGAATGACATTATGTGGTCTGGAAGCCTGAAAGATGTAATGGTCTCTGGATGTGTGAGGCCACAAAGTTATGAAACCAAATGGAATAGAGATGCCCATGTGTCTGAACAGAAGGTGCATCTTTCTGACCAGACTAACCCGGTACCTGCAGTGACATGCGTGAAGTTGTACAACTGTCTTACACATCCAAGCAGCTCTCTGCTAAGAAACAACCCCTTGCCCTTTCATTGCATGGTGCAGCGTCTATTATTAGAACTCCCCTATGGGGGACAGATCCATAACAACAGCAAAACACAGACCACAGCCCTGCTGAGCTCTTCAAATATTTAAAGAGAGAGATGGTTGACTTCTGAGGAGGCCTGGTAGAGCACAAAAAGGGGAGAGACAGGATTTCTGTGCCTCCTGGGGGGCTGCTGAGAAAATCCCTCCTGCATACTCTCATCCAGAGAGGAAACAAAAAATCACCCAAGGCCAAACTGCACTCAAAAGTACTGGGGACTTCACCAGGACTCTGAGAACAGTTGGGTGGAATTTTAGCAAAGTTTCCAGTACCAGTTTGCTTGGAAATGAGCACGAGAACCTGCAGCCCAGAGAGAGAGTTTCATGTGTTTAGCCAGTGAAAACAAGAGCTTAGCAGGAAGATTCCTCCTCGGCCCTAGCATAACACAACCAGATGCCTCATGGTTATTTATTAGCAGTGCTCCGGCAGTTCCTAGAGCCCCTGGGCATGGACCAGGACCCAGCTGTGCTTGGTGCTGCACAGACAAACCAGAAAGATGGGCCCTGCCCCAAATAATATTTAATTGACTGTGGTTTTTTAGTGGGGCTGGAGCCTCCAAATCTGCCTTTTTTGTTTAGTCCTACTTACTTAGTACTCAGGAGACAAGAGGCCCAAACTCTTGAGAGTGCCAAGTTTCTTGGATGGAAAAGGAAGAAGAGTGGGGCTCTATTCTTGCCAGAGAATAGGCATGTGACTCATTAGCTCTGAGCCTCACTGACAGAATAAAACTGAACGGCAAAAACTGACCAGAAGCCCTTTTTGTGGCTCTGGACTAGTCACATGCCACTCATTCCCCTTCTTCCTAACCCGGAAAAACAAGGTGATGTTAAACTGGACTGTTGTCAATGCCTTGGTGGTGACTTGGGAACGTGCTTGCTGTAGATTCCTTGTAAATTATGTTCGTCTCACAGGAAATCCTGTCACCTCGTCACCCCATTGAATGCAGCCACTCCATCAGCTGCTCTGTTACTGCAAGAGAAGAGTATGGGGGTTTCTTCAACACATGCTGAAAAAGCCCAGTACGTGAAGCAGGAGCATACAATGGCAACACAAGGAGCTGAACCTCTGTGTTTGTACACAGATTTGTGCTTCAGGTGGTTTTAAAATACCAACCAGGGATTGCTCCTGGAGTTAAAGAACCAGCTAGCATTGTCTGGGTCAAACCCGCTGTGAGGTAGGGCTAACTAACCTTTCCCTACACACTATCAGACTGTTTCTGTCCTGCCTGGGTGTCTTGCACCTTGTGTTCGTTCAGTGCTGTGCCCTGCACACTGCTCGGCCAATGCCCCTCAGGCCTGGCATTCCCTGCTGTGTCAGTTCTGGAGCTGCTCTCTCTCTCAGCCACCACCCCTCCATCCTGCCCCAATGGGCTTCTTTTCTGCTGCCAAGCTCCTGAATCACTCTGCCCATGCATTCAGTTCTGACTTGCCCTGCTGTGCCAATTCTGTGGCACCCACGCTGTCCTACACCAGGGTGGGCAATTATTTGGGCAGAAGGGCCACTGAAGGAGTTTTGGTGAGCTGTTGAGGCCCAGGGGAGAGGATGCTGACTTGTCCTCAGCCCCTTGTCACAGCTGTTTATGCTGTGTAGCAAGGCAGAGGGGGCCAGGGAGAAGCCAACTGATTCTATCTGGCCCCATATGCCCCGCACCCAGCACTGAGGGTGCCAGATGGAGTGGATGGGCAGGCAGGTGGGGTCTCCATGGACACTGGCCCAGGACCCCCACTGGCAGGGTGTGCTCAGGCAGGTGGATGGAATGGGGCCATGGGCAGGTGGGGAGTAGTGTCTGGGAATGGGATGGTGGGTGGGGCTGGGATTGCAGGGCAGTGACAGCGTGGGGCCAGGACCCAGGGCAGAGCTGCAATCCACTCCGTGCATGTCCCTATAATGTTTGTGGGCAGCGGGGCTGTGTCCAGCAGCACAGACACCAGCAGTGGCAACCGGAGTATAAGGGAGAGAGTGAGGCACTGCCACAGAGGCGGCCAGGAAGCTGAGTCTGGCCATTGTGTTGCTCTCTGCCCTGCTGCCACGCTGCCTGGCCCTGTGGACTACAGCTCCTGGAATGCCTGAGAGCCACATGCATACAGAGGGCTGCACTCCACGTCCGGCAGCATCTTGGTGCCTGGGGGTGGTGGGACCAGCTGCATGTGCCACAACCTGGGCTGTCCCCTGGGTCTGGGCCAGGCAGGGCCGAAGGAACCACCACGGGCTGGACCATATGTTGCCCACCCTTGTCCTACACATTTCAATCCTGCCCTACAGCATCCTCACCTATTTCAGTCACAGGCACCTCAGTAGGCTCCATAAATACCCCTCACTTTTGGCCATCAGCACTTCCTCTTGTGCTAATGTCAGAGGGTGTTCACACTGCTGCCAATGGGGCTCTTTTCTGATATACAGCACCTCCTCCTGGGTAAGATTCACTCTTGGCCATAGCATTATTCCCAACTGATAAAAAAAAATAAATGCATTGAGACAAGACTTTATAGTAACTGGCAGGGCCTTGGAGTCCTGAGTAGAATGAGTCCTGTTGTGTCTTGCAGTCCTCACGAAAAAAGCTGTGGCAAAACTTCTACATGGCTCCTGCTCAGCCTTTGTAAATACCGATGTCTTTCATTTCATTGGCATCAGTGAGCATTAACCTCTCGGCATCAGCAGTAGTCCTGACCACATGCCAGTTGTTAGCAGCAGCACAAGAGTATCAGCAGGTTGGCACTGATGAGAAAAGGCTACGGCTAATCGCATGTAATGGCAATGAATAGTAGCACACCACAGAAATTAAAAAGCACGGCTGAATTATTAAGTGATGAGAAGAAACTAACATAAGCTGCTTATTCTTCTCCATGTGCTTCAGCCTCAAGAGGCATGAGCCAGCATCCCACAGCCCACACAGACCACTGCAAGGGAAGTGGCTCATGTATGAGACAGATATTCTGTGTACCTCATAGGCACAGCTGTTGGGGACCCTGATTTCTCATTTTAGAGAACTCTGCAGATCCACTCAGGCATCCTATTCCTCTCAGGTCAGAGATTGTGAATTAACATGTCCCTAGAGCATGTCCTTCTATTTCTTTCTCCTCCTGCCACCTACTAAGCTCCCCATCTTCCGTCTAAAACAGCTGGGTTTTCCCAACTTTTTCCCTTTTAAAATGGCACTGAAATCGACCCACAAAACACAAGGCAGCCTTAGATAC